CCTATCTCAAGTATATATTTTTGTGTTTAACATTGTTTTTATAATTTTTAATAAGGGGTGGGAGAGGAAGGGGAAGGGGAGGGAGAGGAGTTTTTTCTTTCTATTAAAATATTCATTTATTTTTTTTATTTAATCTATGGGGGAGCCTAGTTTTTCCTGTGGGAAAAAATAAGGCAGAGGGGTTCAACATAACCACAAATATTTGTAGTATTTTCTCCGAAAAAAAAATCAGGGATCAAATTCATTAGATATGGCAAAAATGTCGCTCGAAATGAATTTCAGATAAATTTTTCTTTTGACTGTAGCTTTTAATGACCTAAGGATTTGGCATTGAAAATTGGAAGTATGCGACGCGTTTCGGCGCTGGTTAAGCGGTCATTTTGATTAATATTGACCATTTGGTGCACAATTAAAGATGAAGTTATATATGGGACCTATATCCAAGTCTGAACCGATCTCGATAAAATTTGTGAAAGGTATTTCCGAGCTCTATAAGATATCTGGTGCCAAATATCATTGTTGCAGGGTACATATTACGAAAGTGAGGGACTTAACCAACAAATCGGATGGAAGATTTATATACATTGAAGATATAGCGATATCTGAGTCGATTTTTGAAGTATTTGCTACCAGGATGAATTCCGTCGGATGTACCAAAATTCAAGTCATTCGACTGATTTTGGCCATTTTGGTGCACAATAAACCTCAAATCGGACGAAGCTATATTTGGGAGCTATATCCAAATCTGAACCGATTTTGTTAAAATTTGAACCAGATATTTCTGGGCTATATCTGATATTTGGTACCAATATCTGTAGCTATATCAGAACCGATTTTCACCAAATTTGATGTATTTGCTTCTAGACTGAATTCGTTCGGATATACCAAAATTCAGGCCATATGGACTAATATTGGCCCTTAGGTGCACAATAAACCTAAAATCGGATTAGGGTATATATGGAAGCTATAGCTATATCTGAGCCGATTTTAATCAAATTTGAAGCATTTGCTTCTAGGCTGACTTCGGGCGGATGTACCAAAATTCAGGCCATTTGGGATGATAGGAGTCATTTTGTGCACAATAAACCTCAAATCGGACGAAGATATATATGGGAGCTATATCCAAATCTGAACTGATCTCGATAAAATTTGGCAAAGGTATTTCCGAGCTCTATAAGATATCTGGTGCCAAATATCATTGTTACAGGGTACATATTACGAAAGTGAGGGACTTAAACACCAAATCGGATGAAAGACATGTATGGGAGCTATAGCTATATCTGAGTCGATTTTCATTAAATTTGAGGTATTTGCTTCCAGGCTGAATTAGCTTGGATGTGCCAAAATTCAGGTGATTTGGACTGATATTGGCCATTCGGTGCACAATAGACCTAAAATCGGATTAAGGTATATATGGAAGCTATAGCTATATCTGAGCCGATTTTCACCAAATTTGATATAATTGCTTCTACCCTGAATTCGATTGGATGTGCCAAAATTCAGGTCATTTGGACTGATAATGGCCATTTGGTGCACAATAAACCTCAAATCGGACGAAGATATATGAAGGGCTCACAGCTATACCGAACTAAGTCATAAAAACATAATTCGAAGATATTTAGAGGTAAAGTAAATGCACTGCAATTAATTTCTGGAAGGAATATTTCAGTCTACTAAAAGAAAATGTAAAAGTCTATATTCAAAATTAACTAATGATATAAATTTAAAAGCAAAAATATTAAAATATGTTACTAAAAAAATATTCAAAAACAAAAAAATCTACTTTGGTTCATTATTACTCTGATTAAAATTTGAATGTTTCACAGTTAAAGCGAACCAAGTCAAAAAAATATAATAAAGTGTTCGCTATATGACTAAATATAGTTGATGTTCCGCTTGTAATAAGTAACTGATGTTGATAGCTTTGGAATGCTTTTTGAAGGTCGAAAGTACAGATATAGTGTTCATCAGATGGTACTTCTGAATTCAGTGAGTCTCGAGCTAGCTGTGCTGCTTTTCCTGTTGCCAAATTAAATTTGTATTTTCATCTTCATGGAAATTTATTTTCATGTCAAGTCCATCACAAACTCGACAAGTATCCTTATTCGGATAAAATTTCGTGCTGAATACTTTATAATAAAAATACATTTTGTTTTGCGTAATCTGCAAGTTTCCAAAATGACTCGAAAAATAATTCTCTGTTAGATTCATTCACCTGGTTGTTACATTTTATTCTGCATCCACAATCATAATTAGGTATAAATGTTTTCCACTGTTGCAGCGAAGCTTACGCACATTGTGCTTCCACATTGCCGGGATTATTCATCTTTATTCATCTTTTACTTTTAAAAATTATAAAAATACCGAATAAAGGGAGTTACCGTAATATGGGGGTCTATACGAAAATTTGGACCTGCACAGGCAAGTTTTGTCATAGTTCATCACAATATTTAAATGGGAAACTGGAAAATATCCGGTAAATAATATCGCAAAAACATCCAAATTCTTAATACGAAATACGAAAGTCATCAAAATACCGATCATTTTCAATACCAAACGCCCTGTTGACCAAACACACATCTGAGTAAAATTTTATCAACCTACTTCAGTTGGCTCGGAATCTAGAGTGATTTCCACATATTGACGGACATCGCAAAACCGACATTGAATTTTATGCTGATCAAGAATATATATACTTTGTAGAGTCTAAAATATATATTTCGTGGGGCTACACACGGAATGACCAACTTAATATGCCCTCCATACTATACCCTCCACGTACTATGGCTGAGGGTAGACATCTGTCGACAAAACTGACTGATACTTTTTAACTTGTTTTTTTTTTAATATTGCTGAGAACTGAACGGCAATATACACTTGCTCACTAATAGAACTGATTTAAAGTGAAACACACTGACTTGGTTAATTTTTGCTTTGAATAAAAACAAAAATGACAGTCGTTGACTTAGGTTTTTTACCGTTATCTTTGGAACGCAACACTTTTTGACATTATGCTTTGCAGAGTAAATAGAGTTGCCACATGCGGGGACATTGGCACTAGTTTCGGCATTTTTTATTTTTCATGACTTGGTTCGGTATAGCAGTGAGCCCTCCATATAATGGAGCTATATCCAAATCTGAATCCGATCTTCATAAAATTTAGCACAGGCATTTCTGAGCTGTATTTGATATATTTCCCCGAATATCATTGTTACAGAGTGTATATTACGGCTGCGGAGGACAAAAATATCAAATCGGAAGGAAAATATATGTGGGAGCTATAGCTATATCTGAACCGATTTCGATTAAAATTTGGCATACTTGTTTCTAGACTTAATTTGGTCGTGTATGCAAAATTCCATACTATTTGGGCGGATATTCGGCGTTTGGTGCACAATAAACCTCAAATCGGACGAAGTTATATATGGGAGCCACATCCAAATCTGAACCGATTTTGATAAATGTTTGGAATGGTATTTCTGAGCTGTATTTGAAATATTTTCCCAAATATCGTTGTTATAGAGTGCATATTACGGCTGTGGAGGAAAAAATTATAAAATCGGAAGAACAATATATATGGGAGCTATAGCTATATCTGAACCGATTTCCATCAAATTTGGCATACTTGTTTCTATGCTCAATTTGGTGGTAAGTGCCCAATTCCATCCCATTTGGGCTAATATTACACGTTAAGTGCACATTAAAAGGCAAATCGGATGAAGATATAAATGGAAGCTATATCTCAATTTACAACGATTATCTCCAATTTCAATAGGTTTCGTCCTTGGGCCATAGAAATGTTTTTTGGAAAATTTAATCTGGATCCGGCAATAAATGCGACTTGTACTTTGCTTAGAATAATTCATGGAAGGATTGACGGATGGCATGATATAAATAAAAAGACTCAGAATGAGGATCCTCAAAAGTAACTATGAGCCTATCTCATTTCGATCGATTTTTTTTCAATATCGAAAGAGAGAATTTGGATCCTGATTTTTTTAGAGCAAAAAACGTTTGTTTGTTTTGAACCCCTCACCTTATTTTTTCTAACACGCCTTTGCCACTTCTCCCTTAGTTTTTTTTCAATTTTTCCGTTCCCCCCTCCCTCTCTGCGTTTTATTATAATTTTTTCCAATTCTATGCAAATCATTTTTCAAGTAAAAGTTACATTTTCAAAGTGTTTCTAGCTCCCTTCCCTGCTCATAAAATCTCATTTTGCATTCATCACTTGCCTCTTATCCCCCCCTCTCCCCATTCTTCTCCGCTTCTCCCCACTCACCCTCCACCACTTAACTGAATTCTAATTTGTATCCAAATCAAATAAATTAAATCAACCATTGAAATGTAGAATTATAAGAAACTATCTATCAATGTAAGAGGGGCTGGGGAGGGGGAGAGGTGCCCCCAACGAATATACTTGAAAATTTATTCAAATAGAAGTGCTTATGAAGAAGCTGGTGATAATCCATTAGAGAGTGTTAACTAGAAACGAGAAGAAGGACTTGGACGCATTAGAGGTAGGTAGGGGGAGGGGTTACCCATTGAAATATTGCTGCTGGAATGAATTCCGAAAAGTTCAAGTGCCAGGAGAATTACTTTCAAGTAGCTTCTTGAGGTAGGGTGATGTTGTTGGAAGTGTGGCTAGGAGGCGAAGGATGATGAGATGATGGAGTAGTGAAATTTGCTTGTGATTCCATTGCTGGTTCTGGCTCTGTTATGTTTCCAATTTCCATAAATAATTGTGGCCATTTCCCCCCCTTCTTTACACCTTGTTGAGGGTACCCCCAACCCCAAGAACACCCCTGACAAATTTCTTGCCTTGCATTGTTTTTTTTTCTTTTTTCATTGGTTGTTACTGTTGATGATGATGATTCCGATGATGATGATGAAAATGATTATCTCTTGTTCTCCTTCTTCTGTTCTGTCACTTCTTATCCTGAAGTTATCCGACCTCTTTCTAATTTTGTATTTTTGTTTGGTGTTTTCTTCTTTAATTTTAGTTAAAGAAATTACCAATGGACGTTCACCTTTGCTTCAGGAGCCACTCTATGGAACTCGAGCTCAGCAGTACAGTAAGTAGATGACGTAGCTAAATCAGAAAAAAACAAACAAGCGAGTCACATACACACAAAATTTTAATATTAAATCACGATAGATGGTACTGTTGTTGTTATTGTTCATGTTGTTGTCAAGACCCCAAGAATAGCATAGACTTCCTGCTTGAGAAAGCGAACCTGCCACTAATCTCCCTGGGGGCGACCTGGGTATAATAAGTTTAGTTTAGTTTTTAAGCAAAAGCCGGGAAGCAGAAGCTCTTTCAGTTCTGTTGCTGGCCCTCCTTGAAGCTAGTTGAAAAGTTTTGAGAAACTTTCCGAATGTATTTTTTGGGTTATGGTGGGGGGAGGAGGGAGAGTATGGCAGTGAGAAACCCAGCACTCACTTGGCCTTGCACTGCAGTCATAATTTGCTAATAAATGCAGTCATGGAAGAGTGTTTGGGTGTATGTGTGTGTATTCTTTGCTAACTTTGGCTATCATAACTAATTACAGGTAATACTGCAGCAGAGAGCCAAAACTTTGCAGGAAACCACTGCCAGCCAACGTAGCATTAGCATCTCCCTACCCAAGACATTATTACCTCCACTTTCCAGCCAAAGACACAAATTATTGCAGACATCCACCACCACAACCCCCACCCTTAGCTACACATATATATGCAGATATTCATTCATTCATTAGTTAGTCAGGCAGGCAGCCAGTCAGTCTTCTATGCGAAAGAGATTTTTGCCCAAATTATCTAAAGCAATTTAGAAGTTTTACTGGAAACCTATGCCAGCACTTGGCCAAGATCTTGGTGAGCTTTGTAGCATGTGAGGAGGGGTGGGGAGGAGAGGCGAGGGAAGAGGGGAAGCATTTGTGGGAAAACTTTTCACTATTTTGCCAAAATTTTTGGAGAATTAAAGACATGACTTTCAAGTCTGGAGTAGAACTTTTGCAAATAAAACAGGTAAAATGGGGAGCTAGGATTTTGACAGGGATTCAAATATTCTCTGAATTGAAAAGAAAAATTAGGGTAATTTCCTCCTCCTGATTCAAATATTTTATCATTTTTATAACAGTTCGGAAATTCTGGAACAAGGAAATATCAGAGTAATAGTTTCAAAAGGTACTTAGCGATGGGAAAACGGAACTAGTTTTTTACAGCTTCCAGCAAAATATTACTTTTGTGGCCCAATTGTCTAGGATTTTGCAAGGATTCAAATATTTTCTCAATTGAAAAAAATATATATAGAAAAATTCAAGACTGAAATCTTTCTCATCTTTATGGAAGTTCGGAATTTTTCAAACAAGGAAATATCGGAGTTATAGTTTCAAAGGATATTCAACGATGGGAAAATCGAACTAATTTTCTACAGCTTCTATCAAATATTACTTTTGGGGTCGAATTTTCAAAATCAAAAAGAAGGAAGTTGGTCATTTTTAGAACTCGTTTCAGGTGCTGATTTATAATTTCCTTAAAAAACAAAACAAAATTTGTGGTTTTTTTGCCATATGGAATCAGCAACTCATAGTAACAACAAAGTTCTTTCCTGCGTATAATTAATATTAATTTCTGGAGCCCCGGAGGCGTATGATTGTTATATTAAGTATGCGCCAGAGAGATTTCCTTTTATAATCCTTTCTAATTTAATTTTTTTCTCTACGTTTCTTTCCTCCTTCATTCTCTAGAAAGAAATGTGCATCTACAGGGTGAGATAAAAAAACTGCAGTAAAGTCAAACTCCATAATTTTTACATTTTTTTTTTAAATTTTATTGAATGAAAGCAAAAAATAGCATCAAATTTTAGAATAAGTTTAGATTTGTTAGAATTGGTTGCCTTTGGCACGAATAATGACCTTCAAACGGCCAATAAAACCCACACACGCTGCCCGAAATGTTGGTATTTTGGACTACTTCCGGCGAAGCGCTTGCCTGAGGTGATCGACACTTCGGTATTTTTTAGTTTTTTTTTTTTCAAAATACTTTTCATCGCCAGAAACTTTGGTCCAAGAACTCTGGTCCAAGTTTTTTCTATAGAAAAAAATTCGCCAGGACCTCTGGTCCAAGTTTTTTCTATAGAAAAAAATTCGCCAGGACCTCTGGTCCAAGTTTTTTCTATAGAAAAAAATTCGCCAGGACCTCTGGTCCAAGTTTTTTCTATAGAAAAAAATTCGCCAGGACCTCTGGTCCAAGTTTTTTCTATAGAAAAAAATTCGCCAGGACCTCTGGTCCAAGTTTTTTCTATAGAAAAAAATTCGCCAGGACCTCTGGTCCAAGTTTTTTCTATAGAAAAAAATTCGCCAGGACCTCTGGTCCAAGATTTTTCTATAGAAAAAAATTTGCCAGGACCTCTGGTCCAAGTTTTTTCTATAGAAAAAAATTTGCCAGGACCTCTGGTCCAAGTTTTTTCTATAAAAAAAAATTCGCCAGGACCTCTGGTCCAAGTTTTTCCTATAGAAAAAAATTCGCCAGGACCTCTTGTCCAAGTTTTTCTTATAGAAAAACTGTATTCTATAGAAAACCAAATCCTTTTTCTCGTACCCAATTAATTTTCCTTGCAACCTAATCTCTCCTGGCTTCCATTCACATCCTTAAAAGGCCTTTTCCAACTGCTTTTCATTAAGAACTCCTCACCGAAAAACAAAACAACTACCTTTTAATCTCTGGGAAGTCTAAAGTCTTTTCGGCTAAGCCTATTAGCCATTGTTGTTGTTGTAGTTGCTGCGGCTGTTGTTGTTTAGCTATTCTCCGAAGCAATGACAAGAAATGGGTTATGTAAAAGCAATTACGGAATTTATTTCCGTAAAACACTTGACCCACTTTAGAGCGAATGCCTAAAACGTAGCTGAAGCAGAGGCAACGGCAGCATAGAAAATAAAATTCCAAAATACAAGGCAACCTGGCGACAAAACCAGCAGCAACAACAACAGCAATAAAATACATATGTATGTATGCAAACACTTATTCTTTACCTCCCTTGCTCCTAAGCACCCTTCCTCGCCACCCGAAAAGAGTTGACAACATTTCTAATGAAATTGTTGTTTAACTGCTGCTGCTAAAGTTGTTGCTGTTGTTCCGTCGGTACATTCTTGCGCAAATATTTAGCATTGACAACCTAAATACGTCATTACTAAAAGGGGCGAGAGGCGAAGCCAGTTTTCGTTACTAATTGTAGGTGTATTTGTGTGTTCTGCATTGACTACATGAGAGAATGGGTGAATGAAAGTTTTGCCACTAAAATATGTCGGGGTATGTGTGAGAAAATCTTAAGTATGTTAGCCTCATGTATGTCGGTGCTGGTGGTGGTGGTGTTGGTGAATCACCGATTGTGTGACAAAGTTATTTGTCCCAAGAAGAGGGATGGAGAAGGTGTAGAAGGATTGGATTATGTGAAATTCGTTTACTTAATTCCTTTGGAAACATATAAACAAGGACCTACTCTTTCAAGCGTTCGAGGGAAACAGGAAGTTCGGCTTTTTAAGCAGCCATATAAAATTCACAACTTTTAATTTGAAGAGCTAATATTTTTGCTCATAAGCGTTCAGCATCGACGCCAATGACGACATAATCACTTTGCCATGAGATGGCTGAAGGACTTTTTGGGTTGAAGTGCCTATCCTAAAGTGTTAATTAAAATGTGAACAATTTTGTTTTGGGTGTCGAGAGAGGTGCGGAGAAGAGGGGTGGAGAAAAATTCCGTTATAAATAGAAAATTATGAAAATCGTTTAAATATTTAGCACAAGCTTAGAAGAGCAATACCTGAACCGTAAAAAGAGAAATAATAATATTATTAACTGTACGTATATTTAACATATTAATCATACGCCCCCAATCCAATATTAATAACAATTGTACGCCCGGATTTTTTTCAATTTGGTAATAAAGAAAATTCATAAATTGTGTGGATCTCTCCTTCTCTGGTCTATGGTTTCTCTGTAGAAACAAATCTGAAATCGAAGGGTTTTTCAAAAAAAATAAAAAAAATAAAAAAAATGGAGCCTCGCATTCAAGTTTTTTTTTTATAGAAAAAAATTTGCAGGACCTCACATTAACATTTTGTCTATGGAAAAATCGCAGGACCTTATTTTTGTATTCAAGAAACCTTCGAGTCAAAACTTGTAATAGCCCAAGTTTTTTCTATAGAAAAAAATTCGCCAGGACCTCTGGGTCCAAGTTTTTTCTATAGAAAAAAATTCGCCAGGACCTCTGGGTCCAAGTTTTTTCTATAGAAAAAAATTCGCCAGGACCTCTGGGTCCAAGTTTTTTCTATAGAAAAAAATTCGCCGGGACCTCTGGTCCAAGTTTTTTCTATAGAAAAAAAATTCGCCAGCACCTCAAGTCCCAGTTTTTTCTATAGAAAAATATTCGCCAGGAACTCTGGTCCCAGTTTTTTTTCTATAGAAAAAAATTCGCCAGAAACTCTGATCCCAGTTTTTTTTTCTATAGAAAAAAATTCGCCAGAAACTCTGATCCCAGTTTTTTTCTATAGAAAAAAATTCGCCAGAAACTCTGATCCCAGTTTTTTTCTATAGAAAAAAATTCGCCAGGACCTCTGGTCCCAGTTTTTTTTTCTATAGAAAAAATTCGCCTGGTCCAAGTTTTTTCTATAGAAAAAAATTCGCCAGGACCTCTGGTCCAAGTTTTTTCTTTAGAAAAAAATTCGCCAGGACCTCTGGTCCAAGTTTTTTCTATAGAAAAAAATTCGCCAGGACCTCTGGTCCAAGTTTTTTCTATAGAAAAAAATTCGCCAGGACCTCTGGTCCAAGTTTTTTCTATAGAAAAAAATTCGCCAGGACCTCTGGTCCAAGTTTTTTCTATAGAAAAAAATTCGCCAGGACCTCTGGTCCAAGTTTTTTCTATAGAAAAAAATTCGCCAGGACCTCTGGTCCAAGTTTTTTCTATAGAAAAAAATTCGCCAGGACCTCTGGTCCAAGTTTTTTCTATAGAAAAAAATTCGCCAGGACCTCTGGTCCAAGTTTTTTCTATAGAAAAAAATTCGCCAGGACCTCAAGTCCCAGTTTTTTCTATAGA